CGCCGTGCAGAAGTAGCCGCAGCCGGGGCAGCACTGGTGCTTCACCATCCGGCCCCGGTGGTCTTCACACAGCACCAGGAGCGGCGCCTTGCTGGACGGGCGCATCAGCTCGTGCTTGACCACGCTGTTGGTGCACCTGCCCAGCTGCAATCAGACAACACAGGTCAGCGACCGAGCCCCAGGCGGCTGAGCGGAGGCGAGTCCAGGGCGGACCTTGAGCACCGACGTGGGGTCGAGAGCACACATGCCCCAGAGAGGACAACCGCGTGACGGGTAGCCACGCAGGGTCAGAGCAGCTGCTGGTTAACTCGGCAAAATCGAACAGAACATCCTGAGTAAGTTGGGGTCTCCGCAGAGTAAAAAGAAAGACGCGCACCAGGCAGGCAGGCAGGCTGGAGCGCGAGGTTAGGGGCCGGCAGCAGGGAGCAGAGAGAGTCCCTGAGCCCTGCACGCAGTGGTGACACCAGAGCCAAGGCCACAACCAGGCTGCAGACGACGGGCCTTGGACGCAGCCCAGACAGGGTGCAGCCCAGGTGCCTACCAGCAGCAGCCCACCTGAGGCCTGACCAGGACCTCACTTCCTGCCCAGTGACTGATCAGCTGACCCAGCCCCCCTTCCTCCCCCCCAAGCACCTCCAGATAAAAGGAAGCCAGTGAGTCATGGGCCTCACACCCGATGACCCCCGAGGGATGGCTGCCCAGGGACGCTGAGGCGGGCAGAGCAGGGCACACCTGGTGAGAGGAGCACGGAGGCGGGCAGAGCGGGAGGAACAGGCACCAGCCCCGGAGAGCAGACCCGGCGGGAGCAAACACGAGCCCCCAGAGCGGGGAGGCCGGCGGGAGGCGAGGGTTTCCACGGGGTGCTCCGGGTGGAAGGCAGTTCCGACGGTCGAGCAACAAGTCAAAAGTGTACAAGAGGAAGCAGAGCTCCAGACGGAGGGACAGGCATGTCCCTGCCCCGAGACGACCCGCCAGGGCCCCACAGCCAAGGCGCCCCCAGCATCCAGGACCCCACCACCAGGACGAAGGCAGGCTGAGGACCTGCAGAGAAGACAAAGCAGGGCCACACCAGCAAACCAGAAGGAGAGGGTCTCGGTGCCCACAGGGAACACGTCAGGCCTGGACAGTGCTGCTCAGTGCTTAGAGCGCCAGCCCCGGACCTAAGGCCTGGATTCAATTCTGGCCAAGAGCCCGTACCTGGGTTGCAGGCTCATCCTGGTCCTGGTCAGGGTGCATGTGATGAGGCAACCCACCCACGTGTCTCTCTACCAGCGAAGTTTCTCTTGCTCGCTCTCTCTGCCCCCCACTTTCCTCCCTCCCTCTCTAAAAATCAATGGAAAATATATCCTCGGGTGAGGGGAAAGGAAATGAAAGCGAAGGGGAAGGGGAAGGGGAAGGAGAGGGGAAAGGGGAGGGGGAAGGGAAAGGGGAAGATAAGGGGGAAGGGGGAGGGGGAGGGGAAGCACGAATGCACGAGAGACAGCTAACCTGAGTCCCTCGGGTAAGAGAAACACAGCGCAGCAGGACCGGGCTCAGGAGCTCGGCACGGAGAGTGTGGATTTGGACCCGCCGTAGCAGACGCAGGAGTCGACAGAGAAAGACCTGGGCGGCCCAGGTATCTCACCATGAGCCGAGACGGGAGGAAATGCAAAGGGAAACACCAGAATAAAACGTGCTCACACGCACCCTCCACAAAGAGGGAGACGCCACCAAGTCTGAAACGGGGAAGAGAAATCAGCTAAACCTGAGACACAAAGGAAAGAAGAGGGGCAGCTGGCAGCTGTGAGACAAGTCGCACCCCAACACGGGCACCCGAGCCCAGAGCCGAGAGAGAACAGGCTGAAAAGCAAACTGCTACAGGCAAGAATTTTCTAGGAATAAGCAGTTCACAGAACTCTCACGAGGATCAACACCACGAGAAAAACGAAAGAGCAGCACCACCACCCCTCGGCCAAAGACGGGGGACCCTGGCGGCGGCCAGGCCTCCCACACGCACAGGAACCAGGTCAGACAGCTCCGCGCATCGCCAGGAGCCCCGGGAGTCACCGGCCAACGCCGCCAGTGCTGACCGCTCTCCACGAAAACACCTGCCAGAAATGAAGGCAAAATACGGACTTTTCACACACGCCAAAGGGAGAATCCACGATGAGCAGGCTGCCGCCAGGAAAAAATTAACACAGACGCAGGGTCTTCGGACACGAGGGGATGACCCGAGGGAGCCGGGACCTGCGCGAGGCCTGAAGCTGCAGGTGACAGAGGCTGCGCGTCCGTCCGTCTGAAAGCCAGAGGGCGAGTTAAGGCAACGGCAGCCGTGTGCGGTGGGACGGCAGCAACACGAAACTAAAACGTGGACAAGACAGGAGGGAGAGCTCAGCCACGGAAGATGGTACGTGAAGTGGTACAGCACCAGTTGAAGGGAAATCTCAGGGCAACCACTAAAAACGTTAGAAAAAGACCCAAATAATAAAGCCAACCATGGAATAAATTACAATCACAAGACATTCCAAAGCAAAAGGCTCACCATGAAGAAAAAGGAACAGCAGATGGCTTCGTCCTAACTCCAGCAAAGTATTAGCTGTGATCCGACTCCTCCCTGATCACACTAAATGAGGATGCCCACGCCGACCATGGAACAACAGGGACCCCGCACCTCGCACAGAAGACTAACCCCACGTGCTATGTAGTCGCTGCAAACGTGAGGGTGGAGGCCGCGAGGGCAGGAGCCTCCACGGGGAGCCGGCGTCTTACTGGTGACCCAACGCCCGGGCGTCACCGCACAGAGACGGCGGGAGGCTGTTTGCGAGACCACAGGGCCTGGGCTGCAGAGCCGACACCAGCAGGACCAGCACGCAGGACGGAGCCCGAGACCCACCAGAGGCCCGAGCAGCAGGCCCCTGGCCGGGTGGGGTTCCTCGGCTGCATGCACCTGTCAGGCCGAGAACGACGCACAGGTGACGGCCTCAAGCAAACGGCGGGCGGCAGAGAGACCAAGGCGCTGGCTCACAAAGGGCTGCTGACACCTGAGGACGAGACAGCGGAGCACCGAGACAAACCCCGTTTGAGGGAAGAGCTGCAGCCCCAGGATTTCCTGGGTCCCACACAGAACAGTCGGAGCAGGTGGACAGCAACCCCCAAGAAGACTTTGCTTTCAGGGAGCTTTTACACTCTTAAGCCCTAGAGTGCCGGGGAGCGCCATCGTTCCTCCCGTCTTTCCCCAAAAGTGCCGGGAGCGCCATCAAAGCTTCGAAATGGCGTCCAGTTCTAAGTCTGCTTTTATTAGTGAAGATGATGTTGCTAAATATGTCAACGCAGTAAAGGTTTCCTTAAGTTTTTGAGTATGTAACTTCATTTACTTGCAATTCATAATTTTTTTCCTAAACTGTAAAATCAGCAGAGATGCCTTGGCAATTTTAGCATATTTCCTAGGATATTGGTTGGCATTCACAGGGTTAAAGTTACTGAGTTGCCAAAGAGCTTTGTCCAACAGGCATAGCTACTGGTATTTGCCACATTGGAAATTAGAACGTCTCTTCTTTTTAAACCTTGTATTATTGAGATATTGCAGGTGTCCCCGGTTTTTCCCCATTGGCCCCTCCATCCAGTTCCCGCCCTGCCCCGGGATTCACCATCCTGTGTCCAAGGGTAAGATCTTGAATTAATCTCCAGCCTCCCTTCCGAGATTCGTGAGTCTGTCTGTTCCATGCTCCCATGCCTCTGATTCTATTTTATTTACCACTTTATTTTGTTCATTAGGTTTCTTGTTTGATTTTTAGATTCAATTATCATACCTATTGCCATGTTATTGTTCATATTTTATATTTCTTCTTCCTCCTCCTCCTGTTCTTGAAGAATGCCCTTCAGCATTTCATGAATACTGGTTGGACTCTGCACTTCCTGGACTTGTAAGTTTATTTTTCATCAGGTAGGGGAAGTTCTGTCATTATTTCTTCAAATAGGTTTTCAGTATCTTGCTCTCTCCTCCTTCTGGCACCCCTATAATTCGGATGTTGGTTGGCTTGAAGTTGGCCCAGAGGCTCCTTACACTATCTTCATATTTTTTTAATCTTTTTTCTGTTGTTCTTCTGATTGGGTATTTTTTGCTTCCTCATATTCCAAATCATTGATTTGATTCTCAGAATCCTCTACTGTTGAATCCCTGTAAATCATTACTTATTTCAGTCAGTGTGTGCTTCATTTCTGACTGGTCCTTTTTCATATCTTGGACATTCTCACTGAGATCCTTGAAGGTCTTACTGAGATCCATGAGGAATCCTGTAACCATGGTTTTGAACTCTGTATCCCGTAGTCTGCTTGCTTCCATTTCTTTCATTTGTGACGTTTGTCTCTGCATTTTGGCTGCTCCCGTGTTTGTTTCTAAGTATCACGTAGAGATGCTGTGTGTCCTGGAAGTGGCAGTGGTCTTGTGTAGTATGTGTCCTGTAGGCCCGGTGGCTCAGCCTGTGTGGGCTGTGTGCACAGTCTCTTAGCTGAGCCTTGATTGCTGTTGGAGTCGTTGGGAGGAGTTGACCTCCAGGCCAATTGGCTGTGAGGACCAGCTGCAACTACAATGGGAGAGCTGCTGTGCAGGAGACACCCCTATGGAGCAGGACTGGCTTCATATGGAGCAGTGGGGCTTTGGTGGTGAATCTGCCCCTTGTGGGTGGCTTGTGGGTGTGCAGAGTTGTAAATCTGGTATAGTCTGAAGCTGTCATGCTGGTGCACTGGCTCTAGGGCGTCCCGGGTGGTGCAAAGTCAGCCACTGCCTGGGGCCACTTGGCAGGAGCTACAGAGAAATCTGCAGATTCCTCCTATTTGTATTTGGCCTGGAGGTGCCCAAAGGAGGCCCAGTTGTGAAGCAAGGCAGGCTAGTGACGGGGCTTAAGCCTTTAATTGATGGGTTTGGGGCATGCTGACCCAGAAGCAGCTTGTTTGAGAGATTTTAGCAAAGTCTGAAGCCTGAGCCAGGACAGGCCATTCATATGGAAAAACTGCTGAGACTATCTCCCTCCCAATTAAAAAAAAAAAACAACCAACACAGGTGGGTTTCAGACCAGCCCTTTCCATGCCTCATCCCTCCTACCAGTCTCCATGTGCTTTCTTCTTTATTTCTCTAGTTGTAGGACTTGCATTCAGCCAGCTTTCAGGTGGTTCTGAGTGATAATTGTTCTGTATTTCAGTTGTAATTTTGATGTACTTGTGAGAGGTGGTAAGTACAGGTGTTTACCTACACCATGATCTTGGTTCTTGGAAATTAAAATTTTTTAATAATTTATTTTAAAATAGCAATATATCTATCATACACTAACATAAAAAACTTATTTCCAAAACAGCAACAAAATTTTTTAATATAATTTTATTGATTTCAGAGGAGAGAGAGAAACATCAATGATGAGAGAGAATCACTGATCGGCTGCCTCCTGCATGCCCCACACTGGGATCGAGCCCACAAACCAGGCCTGTGCCATGACCGGGAATTAAACCCTGACTTCCAGTTGAGAGGCAGATTTAGTCATGGACATGGTCAACCACCTCAGTAAAGCTGGAGGGATTGTTGTGTTGAATAAACTGGTGGTTAAAAAAAATTAATTAAAAAAGAAAACAGGAACATAGTCATTTCTTAGAAGACTGGTTGTATCCTAGCCCGTTTGGCTCAGTGGAGAGAGTGTCGGTCTGTGGACCAAAGGGTCCCAGGTTTGATTCCGGTCAAGGGCATATACCTCGGTTGTAGGCTCCTCCCTGGTCAGGGTGTGTGCAGGAGGCAACCAATTGATGTATTTCTCTCACATTGATATTTCTGTCTTTCCTTCCCTCTTCCACTCTTTGAAAATCAATGGAAAATATCCTAGGTGAGGATTAATTAAAAAAAAAATAAAAAAAGGACTGGTTGCACTGGAAAATCTCCACCATCTTCCAGTTTCAGAGTGGCTCCTGCGAAGTCCACAGGTGTCTTGCGCTCTTAATGGTTCTGCAACACCATGGAAACGACTGATTCCAGAATCACACGGACCTGCACACCTAGGAAATGCTCCGGGCCCTTTGAGAGAAGCAGTGAAATGCACGGAACCTCTCAGCATCGCAAGGACAGTCATGGCCCCAGGAAAGGTCCCACGTGAAGAGGGCATGTGCGCCAAAGATGGGACTGTTTGAGCACCAATAAGAATGAAACACAAAAATGAAACCCCAAATATATTCATGTAGCCCAGCCGGTGTGGCTAAGTGATTGAGCGTCGGCCTATGAACCAGGAGATCACTGGTTCGATTCCCATCAGGGCATAGGCCTGGGTTGTGTGCTCGATCCCTAGGAGAGGGCGTGCAGGAGGCAGCTGATGGATGTTTCTCTCTCATCAGTTTCTATTTCTCTCCCTTCATCTCTCTCTAAAACCAATAAAAACATAAAAAGTTAAATACATATCTATATATATTCAGTCCACAATGATGTTTGAAAGGGAGAACTGGTCAACCTCCAAAGAGGATGGGAACACGTTTCCCAGCCCGAAGGACTGGGAAACGAACAAAACACTCGAGATGGTGTGAGACACTGGAGGAGAAGACAAGCCTTCCTGTAAAACCACCCGAATAACAGAACCCTCACGGCCAGCCACCCCCACTTTAAAACGCCAAAGAACTAACACAGACATCAGAGACACAGCCAGTCAGCACAGTCCACGAGGAGCCGAGGAACGGGCGGGCTGCAGAGGTCGCTGGGCACCAGCTCTTTGCTTGGAAAATGAAGAAACTGAGCAGCAGCTGTGATGCTGTGTGCCGTGGGGGTGTCCTCAGGGCCAGCAGAGGGGAGGTCTTCTGTGCCAGAGTCCCAGCCAGGACTGCGGGAGGAATGGCAGTGCCCGAGGGCACGGGAAGGCTGAGGACTAAAGGCGGGGCCACTGGCGGCCACACAGACCTGCTCCAGAGCATTCTGGGCAGCAGGAAATGGACAGAGCTGAAGCATGGCACCTGAACCTCAGGTGCTCGGGCCACGGGACGAGGACCCGATGTGACAGATGGGAAGCCTCAGCCCCAGCGTCCAGGTGGGTCCAGGTCGCCCAGCAGCGTGGACAGGAGAGGAGCGGCGGCGAGAGTGTTTGGGTGAAAAGAGGCAGAAACATAGGACACACACAGCAAATGCCACACGAGGACTTTGGGGAAAAACTGTAAGAGGACGGTTTTTCAGACACATCTGACTCTGAACTGGGCATTATGTAACAGGAAGTCACTATTTCTGTTACATGAGAAATGTCCTTTTTTTAGGGAGACGCATCCTGAAATATTTAGTGGTATGTGGGTCTGCACTGGAATGCCAGCTCACAGCCAGGATGAGGGCCGAGGGCGACGAGTCGGGCTGCAGATGGCAGAGGCGGTTAGGGTTAGGCGGGGCCAGGCGTGTGAGTGCCTCTGTCACGGAGGAAAGTCCTGGGAGAGGGCGGGTGGGTCTGTGGACAAGCTGAGTGACGGGTGCTGCAGGCTCGCCGGCCGCCGGCCCATCCACGTCTGCACCGGCAGCAGGTCGATCCTCTGCTGGAGCATGAGCCTCACCCAGGCAGGCATGGCACCACTGGCATCGCCTCCCTAAGAGCTCTCCACCCGGGTCTGGGTTTCCAGGATGTCACCTCTGCTGCCTGCCAGGCTCTGCGCCATAAGCTCGGGGCACTGCCATGCCCCTGCTCAGCTAATGAAAGTCAACGCTCACCTCGTGGTCCACGCTCTCCAGGGCCATGCACTGGTTGTTGGCCAGAGTGGTGATCTCTCGGCTTTTCGGGGTCTCCATCCGGCAGCTGCAGAGGGGCACTTCCTGGAGGCCGTCCGTCTCCCCCGCGTCGGGACCGTTAGCCAGCCCTGGAGTCAGACACACGAGAGCGCCCCCACCAGTGGGACGTGTGCCGGCTTCGCTCCGTCCGCTGACACCCACCCCCACAGTGAAGCGCAGTCCACAGAGGGACCAATTCCCGGCCTCTGCCATCTCAGGACAGGGAAATGCGAGCCACACGGTGCTGTGCTGGCAACGTTCCGGGGGGGGGCCACAGGACAAGAACGCCAACCAGGGACAGGAAGGCAAGACGGGGCCGGCCGAGTCACAGCCTGACGCTCACCTGTTGGGGAGGGCAGCGTTCCCTTGACACGGAGATCCAGGGAGTCCAGAGACACTTCCATGTACCCCGCACTGTCCCCCGGGGCCGCCGGCTCTGCGCTCCCCGAAGAAGACGTGTACGCTTCAGGACCTGCGTTCAAAGGCACCACTGTGAACGCCACGCCCCCAGACGCGGTGCCAATCAATCTGCTCCACTCAGCCATCACTGCAACTGTGGCCCAGGCCACCACTCCCCACCTTCCTGCACACTGTGTGAGCCTCCATGTCCACACACGGCGCATGGGAGGGTCTGTGTCAAAACCTGTCTCTGATGGACCCCAGCCCGAGCCCAGCTGGCCCAACAGCCCGGAGGACGGTGAGCACAGGATGAGTATGCTCCACAACCCTCAGGTCAGGCCAGACGCTGAGCAGCAGCCAAGGAACAGCCCGCGCGTGCCGACTCCTGGGACCAGGAAGGACTTGGGGCGTCTGCCGCCAGACCGGGGTATAGGAGAAGGTCGCCCTCGGGACAGGCCCAGGGAAGGCATCTGTGCACGAGGAGGCCCTGGAGCCGCCACTGTGGGGCCCTCACCGCGGAGCCAGGGAAGGAAAGCTGCTCGGACACAGAACCCCGAGCCCAGCGAGGGCAGATGCCCCACGCACCGAGCTCCATCAGCGTCGCAGCTCTTCTTTCAGTGGCCAGGGAACAGGGCATCGCCCGCTGAGGGGAGGCATCACACCTCTGAGTGCCGCCACCTTCTGCCCTGGGTCTGGGACAGGCAGGGAGCCAGCGCCCGTGAGGAGTAGCCGTCCACCTGAGGGCAGGAGGGTCTGTGCCATTTTAAGCCTCACAGAGAGAACACGTCCCAACTCCCGGGTGAGTGCTCAGGCGCGCGCTGTGCACGTCACACCAAGAAGGCAAAGATGACGCCTCTGCGCCGAAGGTACGTTCCCTCTCGGACCTGCACCTGCGTGTCAGCCGGCAGGAAGAGCCACGCCAGGCAGATGGCCTGAGGGGTAAGCCGTGACGAGAGAGGAACCGTCCGGGAAGGAGCATGAGGTTCAAGGAGGCCCCGACACCTAAGTCCAGGCTCACACTGTGACAGTCACACACAGCGCCCGCATATGCCTCCCCGATATCCACTCGGCAAAGCTACCTCTACCTCAGGGGAATGAAGGACAGCTGAAGTAATCAGGAAAACGATGGAGTGCTGCAGCTTGTGGTGCAGACGGATGGACGGACGGCCGGACGGAAGAGACAAGACCGTCCAGAAATGCCCAGCACTGTCAGCACAGGTGGGAAGGTGAGAAGAGGAAGTCCACACAGCCATAGCGCCGCCCGCACACGGCACGTGCACTGGACCCGCCTCCCAGCACAGGCACCAGCTCAGCGGCATCGGAGACCCACGATAGGGCTCAGACGGGAACTTCAAGAAAAGATGGGACAAAGTCTTTGTGCCGACAGTTAGCACGAGGCCTCTGAGGTCACACACAGCAGAACGTGGGAAGAGTGCAGTCAGAAGTGAGACTTCAGCGCACTTTAAGCTTTTACGCGGCGCGCACTCACAGAACGCACTTCCCAGAAGACCGTGATCCCTGGGAAGGCACACATCGATCTCACACGAACGAAAGAATAAACACTTTCCCAAAGAAGACGCAGAAAGTAAACGTGCGCCCAGCGCAGATGAGGAAACTGAGGCCACGGCGCTGGAGCAGAGCGGGCGGCCAGGACCCTAGCAGGGGCCTGCGCGCTGCCCAGAGAGGACAACGCTTTGGAAACGTTTCCCACCAAGTCAGACACCACATGACTCGGCCCCTCCAGGCTAAACGTGGACCCAAGACGCTGAGAGCATCTGCTCCAAGAGACACGGACACAAGTGGGCACAGCTCTTCCCTCAGAAACAGCCCCAACTGGGAAGAACCCAACTCCCCAGCAGGCAAAGGACCCGCACACCGTGGACAGCCCTGGCCTGGTCTCCCTCTGGCCGCCCAGCCCCGCCGGCAACGTGGCTGCCTCCCCAACAGCTACGCACACAGCCGCTGCCTGAGAGACAGGCACCTCCCGATCATCCACACAAAGACCCACGGTGTGACCTGCCTGAACGAGCGAGGCAGGGTGACTGGGGACAGCAGGCTGGCATAGGCGGGGACCTGCCAGCTGTGCACCTGAGTGTCATACACTGTCCCCAATGCCAAGTCCTCTGAAACCAAGTGGCTGCAGTAGCCCCGCCCCCAGGCCTGCTGACCTTCTGGGTCTGAGGGCCATGTCCTTCCTGTGTCCCTTCACAAAAAGACCTCTGAAGCCGGGAATCTGAGCTGGGGCCGAAAGCCACCATGTGGGCCGAGGCACTGCCCGCGGGACCGGAGGTCCACACAGGCCCCAATGCCCTGTCTGCACAGGGCAGGTGATGGATGATCCCGTCAGCTCCACAGCCACCAAGGAAGCCAGGGACTGAGTGCCACAGGGTTACGGTCACCTGGGTGTCTGCACCAAAGGAATGTCAAACATCATTCCTCTTCCTTAACCAGACCAGTCCTCCGGAGCCCCGCCTCCCGCCGGCCCGGCTCCCCCAGGGCTCCCGGTGGGCAGGGCTCACCCAGCGCGCTGCTCGGCTTCCTCCTGCTTCTCCGCCGCCTCTTCCTGGCCGGCTTGATCCAGGGGCTGTCAGGCTTCCCTTTCCTCTTGAGGAACTTCTTCTTGATGCTGGACTCAGAGCTCTGGACCAAAGGGGCAGGAACAGGGAGCTGAGCGGAGGGACCTCAGACGGCCCACGCGCTGCAGTTCTGTTTTCGCGCGAACAGAATACCTGCCATGTCCTGATTCTGCAACTAGAAAATCAATTTCACTTTCAGACATTCTTTCCCGGATCCCATTCTTACAGACCGGGGCTTTCCCCCAACATCACTCCAGGCTCAGTCATCTTACAGGCCCCGAAAAGGCTCGGAGCATCGGAATGGAACGGAGAAGTCTTGAGTTTGGCTCAGGGAGCGCCTACGCGCCGAGACCCAGCCCACATGCTGCGCTGCCTGTTCTGAGAGGCGCCTCCGAGCTCCGGAACCCGCCTGGAGCGCAGTGCGGGCGGGGGCAGCACGCCTCTAGCCTTCACGATGGTTTGAGTGTTTCTAAAACCTAAGTGGGGAAGGGCATCCACCTGCCACGAATGACAGACAGACGCACAGTGGGGACCGCCAGCCCTGCAGCTGGTCTAGTGCAAGGACCTCAGGCTCCCTGCCTGCTGTGGGCAGAACCTGGAGAGAACGTGTTCACGAGACACAAAGGCGCACCAGGTGCAGGGCCTGGCCTTCCCGCTCACCGCCCTGGTGCTGGACCGTGTCGGTGCTCCGCCCAGTGAGGCCCTCTCAACAGCCCACCACCCCGTGCCCCTGCCCTCTGGGCGCTCCTGGATGGCAAAGCTTCACAAAGAACTGTGGCAAGCACTGCACCCAGAGCTCCCGTCACGTCACACCGTCACCAAGTCCGTGTCCTCCCTCCTCTCATCCGCCCCAGACCAGCTGACACCACATGCCACCTGCTGGCTCCTAAGAGCTTCTCCATCCACGTGACCCCAGGTCCCGAGCTTCCTTCCTGAAGCTCGGAGGACCCTCCGGACTGAGGACCCACGTGTCTGGCCATGGTGCCCAGGCTCCATCCCTCCCCATTTCCAAGCTCCCCATCCCACCCAGGGCCCTGCCTCCGTGACATCTCTGCCTGGCTGCCCAGTGGTAACAACAGACTTGCCCTCGCTCCGTGCCTCGCCCCTGCCACACCCAGCCCCCCGACAGGTGGTTCTTCCTGACACCTCACACCTTCCTTCCTCACAGCCGCGGCAGAGTCTGGGGGACCCCCTGCCGGCCCTGCCCTGGCCTGTCCGCGGTGCCGCTCCTGCTCCTTCCCGAGGCCGCCCGCATCTGCCTGCGCCCGCGAGGCCCTGCTTCCTCCCCACGCGGACACAATGCATGGCGCTGTCTCCGGTTCACTGGGCTACAAACACAAAGCCAGAATGCACCGCTGGTTACCAGGTCGGACTCGTCTCCGTCCTCCTCCTCCTCCCCGGTGCCGGCCGACTCCTCCTCCTCAGACTCGCCATCCATCTGCCCAGCCGCACAACAAGCCAAAAAGAAAACAGAAACTAATGAGACGCTCCAGTGGCAGCGATTCCACAAAACCACATTTTGCCGGCGCTCCTGCCCCGCCCCGAGCGACTGCTGGGGTGCTCCTTCGGTCAGCGCTGAAGACGAGTGCGCCTGGCGCATCACCTGGTGGTCCTGAGCGTAGAATTCGGTTGGAAAGTAACAAAGCACACACAGTGAAAAGGTGTCAGAGGTTACAAAATCACAATGACCCCTTCCCCCACAGACACACCCGAGAGCCCAGTCTGGCTCAGGGCCTTCAGCCCGTGTGCACACACGTGGCCTGAACACAAGAGCGCGTCTCTGTCTGGTCAGATAATGGGCCGTCAAATGCAGTTTTGCGAATGTTATGTCTTCTCATTAAAAATGTGTTTTGGAATTCTTTCCATATCAAAACAACACAGAGACCTTATTCTGGCTGCTTGTCTCCTTTTCTATCCACACGCACACACTGTTGGTGTAGAAGTGGCCAAAGTACATGCGAGCACCCATGTGCCCCTTCTCACCGGTCCTGGAGGCGGGGACCAGGACGTGGCACGCACATGCTGGCCTGGTTCCGTGGGGGCACGTGGTGATGCCGTCAGCCCCCATCGAGGCACACCCAGCGCTCCACACTGCGGCTGTGTCCTGAGCCAGCAGGACCCTCCGTCCGGGACCAGCCCCAGGCAGACGCTGCTTCACTGCGCCCTCCACCTCCCCGCCAGGTCTCGGGGCCTTACCGCGTCCGCATTTCCACTGGGTTCTTGCTTTCTTACCGACTGTGGGAAGCTACACACACAGGATGCTAATGTGGTGGCTGCTGACCATCACAGATGTCTTCTGGGTTGAGTTCTTTGAGCTTTGCTTCTGGTCTTCCTGGCATAAACTGGAGGTGTGACCTGGACCAGTCACACGTGCCCCCCTTTCCCTTCGGGGCTCTGGGTCTGGCCCTGCACCAGGCCTTCCTCACTGGCCATCAGAAAAGTCCCAGCATCCCCTCCCACCAGGCAGCATTTGTGTCGACACTAAATCTTCTGGAATTTACTTTTGTAAGTCACAGCTTCACTGGGAAGTGATTCACTTAACCCGGAAACTCATCGTTTTAAAGTGTCCGACGGGGTGGTTTTCACTATGTTCGGGGAGCAGCCATCACCCCACCCAATTCCAGAAAGGTGACATTTGTGAGGAACCATCAAGCAGGAGCCCACATCTGTTTTTCCCCAACGATCAGCCGATTGTTCCAACATTTACTGAACTGTCATGGTCCCCAGACGACTATCTAAACCCTATTCCCACAATAAACTCGGTCCTTACATACAAACGGCTGCTATGGCCCATCCACTCCCTCCCGCCCTCCCTCCTCACAAGCCCCGTTTCGGTGGCGGCCTTGTCTCGGCACCACGGCCCTCGCTCCCATCTTGCTGTCACCATGCCTCGCTCTTGTGGGTCCTGGGGGAACGGTTCTGGTCCGCACACAGTCACACTGGTCCTCCCCCAGACAAACAGTGGGTCTTCCACGCACTTGTCTCTTTTCTGAACTACTTTCAGAGAGGTCTTAGTTTTCTTCTTCCAGGTAACAAACATTTCTTGTTATATGTATGCCAAGTGCGCTGGTGACAGTACATCATTACAATCATACTTTTCAGTTTTTAGGTGAGATGCTGTGGTTTTGTTTCTCAGATCTTGCCCTTCGAAGATCCACACTGAAGTATCTGCTTCGAGACGACCTTTACCGGACAAATAGAGCGGCCACGTGCTGTGCGCCCACCGTTTCCACGTCTGCACGCCTGACCGTCTGTGAGGCCGCGCCCAGCCCCTGCCTCGCTCCAGGCTTCTGAGCCGGGAGCACAGGGAGCGGCTGGGATCCAGCTGCCTGCCTTCTCCGGCCGCGGTCTTGCCACTGGGAGGCACCTCCACCCTCAGCATATGCTTTTCTCTGGTCCTTCCCAACAGGAACGTTTCCTGCTGGTCTCGTCCCAAGAGGTCTCGGGGACCAGAGCTGCGGGTTCATGGCGGGAGACAGCGGCCGCCCTCCCCATCTTCCTCCTCCTGTTAGAAATGCTTTAAGATGCTCACCACTGAGTGGTACAGTAACCTTTCTGGTAGGATCCAGATAGCTTCGGTCAGGTTATTTAATGTGCTATCTTTAAGTTTTGTTGGGTAGTTTTTTATTTTAGCCCTAGCAGGTTGCTCAGTGGTTACAGCATCAGCCCGTAGACTGAAGGGTCAATTCCGGTCAAGGGCATGTACCTCAGCTGCAGGCTCGATCCCCGGCCCCAGTCAGGGAACATGTGAAAGGCAACCAATGGATGTGTCTCTCTCTCCCCCTCCCTTCTCGTCTCTCTAAAAAATCAATGGAAAAAATATCCTCGGGCGAGGATTCACAACAACAACAAAAGATTGAGCAATGAAACCACCAGTTAAAACAAGCAGCTTAACAACTTAGTTGCCCAGCTGGTCCCGAAGTGCCGTGAGAGACCGTGAAGGAAGGAGCAGGGGACTTTGTAGGGTCGCTGGGTAACTGCACACACAACAGCTGCCAAGAAGGCAACACCGAAAACCTGAGCAAACGGGGAGGAGAAGGGAGCGGGCCGAACAGCCGGGTCTGATGCTGCACCGAGAGCTGAAGCACCAGCGAGCAAGGAAGACGGCCCGCGGCCCGCGAAGGCTCAGGGGCGGGGAGGCCAGAGGAGACCCTGACCCAGCAGGCCCGACCCCAATCGCCAGACCCAGCTCCAACCCCAGGCTACAAAGTGAGGGTTGCACCTCACCCCACCCCGCGCTCAAAACGCCTGGGACCCCCAGCTGCCTGCCACATGACCAGGCCCTGAAACTGGCCTCTAATCCAAACAGCAAGCGCTGGTCCCACCAATGAGAAGGCCGGCGCCGTGGGAGGAACACACGGCGGGGGCCCCCTTCCTACCAAGTGGTTTCAGAGCATAACCAACCCCAGGGCACAAGGCTACACACAGAGCGGCGTCCGGTGGGAACACACTCGGAAGGGGAGGAAGTCTGACCGCGAAGTCGTGCGGATCCCACGCGGTCCCACGCGTGGGCAGCCAGCAGGCACCTCGGGGGGACTCCACGAGCTGTGTTCGGGTCTCGGAACCACCTCATTTTCTGGAAAATTACTAAGAACACCAGAGTGCCTCTTTGGTGTGTTATGCCCATTAATATTTTCTGTCACAGAAATTTAAACTGAGAATGTTTAAACCACAGCACAGCTCCAATAAACGGCAGTATAAAAGGCAACTACGATTTTAGCATTTTACAGTCATACTTTGGACACCAAGATGGCCTGAGAGGGCCTCGGAGAACTGGGATGACTTTAAAAACGACCATGACAGCCCTGGCCAGTTTGGCTCCATGGACAGAGAGCATCGGCCTGTGGACTGAGCGTCTGGGGTTCAATTCCATCAAGGCCACATGCTCAGGCTGTGGGCTCCATTCCCAGTAGGGGGCACAGGAGGCAGCCAATCAATGACTCTCTCTCACCATTGATGTTTCTATCTCTCTCCCTCCCCTTTCCTCTCTGAAATAAAAATATTTTTAAAAAACCACCGTGACATAACAATGACAATGAACTAACAATACAAACAAACGCACAAACATAACACTGCAGAGATGAGCCACACTAATACGCGGCCCAGCAGGGTCCATCTGCACCGAGGCAGGGCGGGTACGAGGGCGGCAGGGCTCAGGGGGTGACCTGGGTGGACACTCAGGCATGGCATTCTGGGGTCACTGGCAAACTGAACCCTTATCATTCCTGGGGTCACGAAGTCATCACCAAACCCCAAACCCAAGCTGGCTCCACAAGGAGCCGCTGAAACACAGGAGCTCTCTGGCCTTCTGCCTTCCATCTGCTCGCCACTAAGTCCTGCAAACAGGCCCGTACCCTTCAGCCTCCTCTGAGCCAGTCCCCACTCTCACCATGGCCACCGTCTGACACACCCCAGCTGTCCGACCGACACCGCGTTAGGGCCGCGGAGTGTCGTCAGGACGGCTGGCACGTGTGCCGTCTCTCACTGGGACGGCCCTGTTCAATCTACTTGTGCTCACTGTCCTGCTAACTCAGGCCGTCCCTGCGTCTTGTTTTGTTTCCCAGTGGCCACAGTGTCTTCTTTCATCCCACTTCGTTTCCTGACTCTTTTGTAAGCTTAAGGTTGCTTTAGTTTCCCCTTTATAACTACGTCTAGTATTCAGTGTCCAGACTCCCTCTTAAAGATGAGACTCTGGATCAAAATAAAGAATCCGGACATAGACTCAAATTCGTATGCCACGCTGTATATGACAATGGCGCTTTTTAAACCAGCCAGGGGAAATCAGTCAATAATGCTGTTGACATACGTGGACAGCCATTTCGAGGGAATGGGTTCCATAAAATTCAGCCATTTTGAGTGCATTAACTTTACATTTTATCACCAAATAAATTCTGTATGTCAAATATTCATAAACAAAAGATGAAATCCATGCAGTATTAGAAGATAGCTCACGTCAACTGACCCACAAGTGCAAGTCCGTGTACCAGCAGGAGATGAGGAGCTAGGCCGCGAGCCCCTGGCAAGGCTGGAGGACAAGCCCGCCTGGAGCTGACGCCCACCCCTACATCCACGCGACGCTCCTGGTGCCACATCGTCACAGATGCACAACCACAGACGATGGGAGAGAATGCCCAGTGGGGCTCGGAGCAGTGACTGCGTTGGCTTAACAGTCCAGCTTAAAGGTGACCGAGAGTTTCCTCAACCGAGTCTGCTCCGTGGCACAGTAAGAGCACAACGATCTACGTCCCCAGCTCCCAATGCCCCTCGTCTACCCCTCAGAACTGAGCGCGCACAAATGCTCACCCAAACACCCACATCTGCTCAGAAACCACACCCACCCAGGGCCCTGGAGACCCTGGCCAGGGAGGAGCCCCAGGACCACCTGCAGGCAGTTCCTGGCTGACAGGGCCCCGATGTTGCGGCTGTGACCGCACTGCCACCCGGCCACCTCCTGGAGCTGGTCCTCCCTCATAACAAGGACACGCCTGGCATCTGGGACACACCAGGTGGTACCGATCGCATGCACCTTAGCAGCCCTGGATGCTGCTTGCTCCGACCAGGAGAACAGGGACTCTCGTCAGTTCCTCAGCGGGGGGAGGGCTGCCCCGGGGAGGGGTCGCACCGGCCAGCAGCAAGCACCACGAGCAGTCGGCCACAAGTGAGTCCTGTCCACCCAGAGCCTAAGGCGCTCCATCCATGCCCTTCAATACACAGGCACAGGGAGACACACGCTTCTCCATTAAAAGAAACTAATCTAAAATGCAAGAAAAGTAAACAAAAACTCAAGTCAGACGCAGACAGGGACTTGAGGGCGGCCTAGAAGGCCCATTGCTGACTCCCAGGCCCACGATGGTCCACTCCGGAGCCTCCTGACCACGGAGGGAAAGGCCTACCTTCTGGGTGCGGTCACTCCCCGACACGCTCTCTTTGGAAGTCCTGCTGTCCTCCGTGGGAAAGGCAGCAGCCTGCTCGGCGCCCTGGTCCTCCTCCTCGTCCAGCTCCTCGGAGTCCTCCTCCTCCGAGTCCATCTCCATGCTCTCCCCGTTCACGTGGAGGGTGCTGTCGCCCAGGTCCTTCTCGCTCTGGAACAGGCAGGGGGACATGCGTCACGCGGAGCCGGGAGCAGGACAGCCCGCTGGCCCCCAGGGCAGGGCGCCGCCACCACCTGGACGGCAGGCGTGGCCTGGAGCAGAGGCGCCTGAGAGCCTAGGCTCCTTCAGAAGGGACCATGGCCTCCCCCTCACCCTGGGTCTGTCGGCCACAGACCGTCCTGGACAGACACACGGCACCGCCGCGCCCTCACCTTGGAGCCGGCAGTGGAGTGAGTTATGCTCTTAAACATCTCAATCACCGTCCTCTGTTTTAATACTTTGGTCTTTTTCCTGGGAACCAGACTATAGGTTCCCATTCTTCGTTTTTTCTTTCGAGACACTGCAGCTGCTAAAACAAAAGGCAAGGAAGCTAAAAAAAAAAAAAGTCAAAAGGAGAAAAGAAAGAAAAAGAGGTGCCATTCAAATGTGTTTTCCAGGTAGGGGACAGCTCACAGACCTGTCCACCAACATTCAGCACAGACACAGGGACGGGAGAGGGCAGGGGCGCTCACGGGCCGTCCGTTTAATTCACAATAAAACACTGAGCTGTACAGATGCAAATGAGACCCTGAAAGCCCCGCCCCTGCACAGTGCCCTTCCCGCCACCTGCCTCCTCGCTCCGTCCACCACCGGAAGGGCAGTGGTGGACAACAGCTGGAACCAAACACTTTTTTTAAAGTTCCAGGGTTTAGAAGTTTCTGAAACCCACCGAGAGACACTGCTTCCTTTGCTGAAAAGGGCATTCACAGGGCACCTGGCAAAAGCTGGCCACGAGTCGCGGCACGGCTACCGCCCGTGGTGGCAGTGCCGTTTTCAGGGACACTATACTGTCACTGTAGGAAGCAACACTGAAGTATCGAGAGGCCAAAGGGGCCAATGTCTGCACCCCGGCTCCTGGGTCAGGAGTCACGTGGGGGGAGCACATGGCTGTGCCGGTGCTGAAACGGGCGCAGAGATGCCGGCCGAGGCCCTGCACCGGCCGGAAGTACTTTAAAGCCTGGAAGGCATACCGCTCTGACCCTGGACACGCCCAGGCAGCCTATGGGAAACCGGGGGGGTGAGGGGGGGCGCGCATCAGCCGCACCCCCGCAACCAGGCTGACAAGGCTCACCTGCATGTCTGCGCCCCACATGCGCGAGCCTCATGCAAAGGGCCTTTCTACACTGAAGGGGGCCGTCCTGTCTGCAGGAACTGTGTCCCAGTAGCTCAAGAGCGAGCCCCCGCCACCTCAAGGCACATCCACCAGCCTCCTCGGGTGGGGCCACCGTGCAGCCACCTGCCCCAAAAGTCCCAACCAAAACCACGTTCAGCCACTGCCCCAAGGGCACGAACAGAAGCAGGCTTAGGAGAGCAAGGACGCCCACAGGAAAGGGGTGGACAACAGCTGGAGCCAGAGCACCACTCCCCGCACCCTCCACCCACAGGCCCCCAATATCACCGGGAGTTCCCCCGCCAGCGTCTTCCACCCAACAGGGCGACCAGGGCAGTGAGGGTCCATCATGGAGGCCATCTTCATGTGAGACTGACAAGGCAGGGGGGAGGCTGCAGGTTTCCAGGGGAGCCCAGGACCCACCGACGCCAGCGGCGCCCTCCCCTACGCACACTCACACTCAGAGTCACACATGGCTCTGGTTCGGCAGGTGCAGGTGGGAGACACATGTCCAGAGACGCCCATGCTGGGCCCTCACCTGTCTGTGACTTCGTGGGGGCCACGCAGCACTGGTTCTGAGGTAGCGGCTGATGAAGGGGCGGGAAGGGGGGCAAAAGCTGCTGCCGTCCAAACTCAGAAACGTCCTCGCTGTTCCCCTCCGCGGGCTCCTCAAGACCTCGAGTTTCTCGGGGGTCCTTGCTGGCTGCGGGCTTCAGGACAGAGACAGTCAGTGACCGCAATGACACACCAGCAGCCGCACGGAGACCGGCCTCCGGCACAGCTCCTTCCGGCCAACACCCCGCCACCGAGATGAGTTACCGTGAGAGGCAGGAGGAAGTGGCGCCCGGCTCCGGGGACTGGACGGGTCAGCACCGTGAGCTAAGAACGGTGTCTACATTTTTAAAGGGAAGGAGAAGCAGCAGCAGTGACCCCGCGTGGCAAAACCCTAAGTACTTCTGCCTGGCCCTGTGCACAAGTTCGCCAGCCCTACTTATTAATAAGTTATGACTAAAAGTACCCTCAATGGGCGGCATCAAAAGATCTCTGATCGCCCTGAGCGCACCCCCAAATGGCACAACAGAAAAATCACACGGCATCTCTGTCTCTGCTGAGTGTACAGACTCCTCACCCTGTCCTTGTGCTCAGCCTGCCGAGGCCCCAGCAGCCTGGATCCGATGTCCAGCCTCCGGCCCTGCAGTCATGCCACAGCCACCCACAGCCTGGAGGGGGGTGGATCTGAAATCCCACTCGGCCTAACCAGGTCCACCGCGCACACGGGAGGTGCAACAAAGAGTCCAGGTAAGCATCCTCAACAAGTGATGCTGGGAACTGGACATCCGCACACACAAGAACGGAGATGGACCTTCACATCACACTAGGTACAAAAATTAACTCAAAACGATCAAAGACCCAAAACTACAAAAACTCTTAGAAGAAAACAGTGGGGAAGCTTCGTGACACTGGATTTGGTGGTGATTTCTTGGACATGACACCAAATGTATAGGCAACAAAAGAATAAATGGGCAAATTAGACTTTTCAAAATTAAAATGTTCTGTGCATCAAAGGACACAATCAATAGAACAAAAAGGCAACCCTCTCCAAAGGCACACCAATGCCACCAGCAAACGTGAAGATGCTCGGCCTCACCCGTCACCAGGAAAACGCAAGTCAAATCCACAGGAGCCCGGCCAGGGCCCAGGGGCGAGCACAGACCTATGAAGTAGGGGTCGCAGTTCCATCCCCAGTCGGGCACAGGCCCAGGTTTGCAGGCTTGATCCCCAGTAGGGAGCGTGCAGGAGGCAGCTGATCAATGATTCTCATCGTTGATGTTTCTCTCTCCCCCTCTCCCTTCCTCTCTGAAATCAATAAAAATATATATATTTTTAAAACTCACAATGAGATAGATAGCACCTCATACCCATTAAAATGGCTACTTTCGAAAAACAACCACCATAAAATTATCCATGATGCCTCAATTACAACACACACAGGAAAAGCAGGTGCTGGCGAGGGGGTGGACACTGTAGCTGGTCCCTGCTGGCGGCCATGTGCAAGGTGCAGCTGCTGCAGGACAGTGGAGAGGCCTCGGAAAGGTAACTACAGACGCAGGCCGCCCGGCAGTCCCACTCCTGGGCCGACACCCGGAAGAATGGAAACCAGGGCCTCAGGAGGCACTTGTACACGACGGCGCAGAGCAGCGCTGCTCACAGGAGCCAGGGCTGACGTCGCAGAGGCCCGGCGAAGCCCCTGTGGTCCATCCGCACAGCACAGCACTGAGAAGGAAGGCCTCTCTGCTCCTGCTACAGCCGATGCCTTCGGGGACATGACGCGGAGGGAGAGAAACAGACTCGAAGGACAAGCCCTGTGGGTCCCACACACATGAGGTCCCTGGAGTCAGACCCACAGAGACCGACAATCCCTGGTGGTGGGCGGGTGGGGACAGTGTCCATCTGGGAAGATGAGAAGGTCCTAGAGCCGTTGATGGGGGTTCCACACCGTGAACGTCCTTCACGTCCAGAACTGGACACTCAGCACTGGCTAAGATGGTGTATTTTATGCTGTGTGTGTTTTCATTGGCTGGGCTCACGGTCCAGGCGGCGGCTGACCCGCGGCTCTAGCTGGCCCCTGGCGCGCCCCTCTACCCCCTCTATCAAGGACGCGCTCCCACCTAATCCAAGTGCTGCTCCTTCCACAGCCTCCACCCTCCGGCCATGGCACAGGGAGCACTGTTTCAATGTAACTCCTTCGCCCTGCAAAATGCTGACAGGTTTGTCTAACAGTCCCTGAACACAGGCATCACATTCTGCTCCCTGATGTCCCCTCAGATCAGCAGCTTGAGGACAAATGAAGGCATGGTCGTAGAGAAAACAAACCCTGAGGGGAAACGGCCACACAGGCTGCTGAGGGACAAACCTGTCCTTTAAGATGTTATTTAGAAAATCTAAAAAACAACAACAAAAAGCAAGATTCTCGATTTTGTTAGGGCTCTATTATTGAAAAAGTAAAAACATGAGCCAAGAACTTCCTCCCACAGAGGCTGCCTTGATGGGTCCTGGGCACCCCACCCAAGCCTGAGCCCCTCCCCGACAGAGTACAGAGTACAGCTGTCACACTCCCAGAGCACACCTGCGTCACACCTGCCGCCCACCCGCACCAGGCTGGCCCAGGCCCCACCCGTCACCCCAACTGGCACAGGGTCCAGTCCTCGCCACCCGCCCGTGTCCCGGCGGCCACCTTCTGCGACGGGGGTGAGCCCTCACAGCACAGACCACGGCTCCTTCCAGACAAGCGGGCGCGACCGCACAGGGCGGCAGTGACTACGCTGAGGATGGCGGGGAACTCCACGAACTGGCTGCACCTTTTTCTCAGAACCTGGGGAATTCTGGGGGCACATGTGGGAGGAGGGGGTGTGGTGACACAGATAGAAGGAGAAAGCTAAGGGGCCACTGTGCTGATGCCCCTGCAGTGTGTGCAACTCAGGCAGAGAAAGGGGGCTGCACTGGCCGGGCATTTCCTCCTCCCCCAAGGAGCACAGTTTCCAGGCTGTGGAGCAGTGGGCGTGGCCTTCAGGAAAACAGTTTCCAAGCCTCAAACCCTTCCATACTCTTTTCCTACAACTGACCAGCTGGAGAATGTTCAGGAATTTCCAACAAAATGATGTGTTGCAGCCAACTGCATACTAATAATCATAATTAACTCAATTCAAAACAAAGCTAACACTTAATAAGCACATGGTCAGAGAAACTCGATATTAAATTTCAAATTGCTTTCTTTCACTAGAGCAGCGGTTCTCAACCTGTGGGTCGCAACCCCTTTGGGAGTCGAACGACCCTTTCACAGGGGTCGCCTAAGACCATCGGAAAACACATATATAATTACATATTGTTTTTGTAATGAATCACTATGCTTTAATGATGTTCCATTTCTAACAATGAAATTGGGGGTCACCACAACATGGGGAACTGTATGAAAGGGTCGCGGCGTTAGGAAGGTTGAGGACCACTGCCCTAGAGAAGCCTGATGAGGTGACAAAAGATCCTCAAGAATGAAAATGTGGAAGAATAAACACCTGGAAGAGGGAATGGAATAAAAGTCTACTTTCGCGGAGATTAAATAAGTGATGTGACATTTCTCACAAGCATTGTGAGAATGATAATGGTGGACCAAAAAGAAAGTAGGCACAAAAAATGAACTTCATCTAAACCTCACCCTAATACAACAATTAACTTGAAATGAATCCTATATTTAAAGTTCACATGAAAGTAAAAAGCTCCTCAGAACCAGAGAAACCTGGGGACCAGGGCTTGTGAGCTCTTGGACGTGACACCGAACGCGTCAGCCATGGGAGGAGGAGCTTCCCTCTTTGCGGGCTGGACCCCATCAACAGGAAGAACTTCCCGCGAGACTCTGAGAGCATGAAGACACGCACGGGCCAGGGAGTCGGCAGACGCAGACCCAGCACCGGCTCCTGTCTGCGCTCACAAGACACGCGGTAAACCCAGGAATGGGCGTGAAGGACACACAATGGCCACCAGCGTGTGCAGAATTAAACCACAACGAAGTCTCACAGCCAAAATTAACACGGCGGCAACCCCCCCAGCGCTGGAGAGGAACTGGGCTGCTCAGCCCATGCTGGGGGTGTAACATGCCATGGCTTGTCTGGAAGGTGGCTTGGCAATTGCTTATATAACTAAATCTCCAATACCACATGATCCTGCAATTGTGCTCCTGGATTAACAGAGAAATGAAAACATAGGTCCAGACAAGAATGTGTGCAAGCCTTGGCTGGGTGGCTCAGTGGGTTGGAGCATCACCTCGTGCACCAAAAGGTTGCGGGTTCAATCCTCAGTCGAGGTGCATAGGGGAGGCAACTGATAGATGTTTCTCTCTCTTTTTCCCTTCCACTCTAAAAATCAATGGAAAAAATATCCTCAAGTGAGCATTAACAAAAAAATAGAGTAATACAAAAGATAGCTAAGAACACTATGAAAAAAGTAGCGGTGAAAATTAAAAATATCAATATATGAAATGACCAGCAAAAATGTCAAAACTGGAACCCGGTGAGGTGCCACGCGAGAAGGCAGAAGACCCACGTCCACGGACAGAGCAGCGCACAGAGCATGTTCCTGGCGCTGAGGAGACGCGCAGCCAGGCCCTCAGGGCCCACCGGGAGGCGGCCCAGAGGGAAGCACAGGGCCCTGCGGACGATGGACAGACAGAGAGACGGGCAGCAGCGTGCTCACCAGTAATGCCTGTGCGAGAAACCCCAGGGGACCTGACCACAAGCCTGAATCCACAGGAGGGGAGACGCACAGCCCTGCAGGCCCTCAGAGTGCAGGTGGCATGCGGGCTCACAGTCGTGGAACAGCAGCAAAGGCAACTGGCTTGGCGTGAATCCGGAACGTGCCGCCTATTCTCGGCACCAAGCCCTCAGCTGCTGGCTGGGTGCAAGGGCAGAGACCTGGACGTGTCTTCAGTGCAGTCGCCCGTGCCTCCGTCCGAGACACTGTGGCCCTGGCTCACCCACTTCCTGCCTACTCACCTCCCGGGGAGACGGCGTGCGCTCAGGGATGGAAGGAAGTCCCCAGCCCAAGCAGGAGTGGAGTCGCGATGCGTTTACTTGCGGGCCACAGGCACCACCCAGAGCACAGCCCAGAGAGCCGGCTGAGGGCCCGGCCGCTGCCCCTCCGACTGTGAGCAGCATCTCCTAACCTCCCACCCACAGCGGCCACCCATTGCTGCCCTTCTCCCTCCTGCACTGACGCCCACCTGCCAGGGCACAGACAGAGAAGACAAAGGACGCTGCCCCTGCCCCGCCCCGACGGGCGCATTACCAGGCCCAGGACGGACTTCGGCATGGTCTTCCGAGCCCTATGAACCTTGACATCTGCACCCAGGGCCGTGGGCTTCTTGTCCTCTGAGTCTCTGCTCCCTTCCCCGGGCCTGGCTGGCGCGGCGGCTGGCGTTTGAGAGAGCACACTGGGAGTCCGCCCTTTGCCAGCCGCTCCTGGGAGAGTCTTTGCAGCATGGCCAGGTAGGGAGGGTGCCAAGGTGCTGGGGACCCGCAGGGCCGGCTCCTGCAGGGCTGGTTTACTCAGGAAGTACCCGTTGCTCCCGATGACGGCCGTCTGCGTGAGGTCGTCAGCCGGGTCGTGGTTCTGCTTCCCCACGTCCGCGTCTCTTTCTGAAACCCCGTTCTCCGCTATCCGGGTCAGCTTATTGGGACCTTCCTGGGGGCTGGCGTTTGCATTGTCCTGAGTGTGCTCAGCTGGGGTGACATGCCTGCCTGTATCACTCCTTTCACAGGACCCGTTGGTGGCCCCGTCTGCAGCCACGTAGGCATCTTCGCCCGGCTTCTCGGGGGAGCCTTCATCGGCAGCCATAGAGAGCTCTGCAACAGAGGGGGAGTCAGATGCTACAAAAACCAGTGACCCATCTCCATGCAGGCAAATGGCTTGAACAGGCATTTCTCCAAAGAAGATACACAAGTGACTAATAAGCACATGGAAAGATGCTCAAGATCATCAGGGAAATACAGAGGAGAATCACCAGGGTGGTGCTGCCAAAGAAGGTAAGGCCACGGCTGCGGGGGCGGAGGACGGAGCCCCACAAGGCTGGAGGCATGCAGCGTGGTTGGCTGCTGCGGACATGTTTGGCCGCTCCCTGGCCGCACTCACCACTGGAGTTAAAAAAGGCCTGAGGGGAGCGAGGAGGACGTGCTTCCCCAGCCTCGTCAGCGTGTGGCTGCAAGCACCGCGCAGCACGCCCTCTGGTGGGCGCACCCCCTGTCCCCAGCACTGTTCAGGTGCCGCCCGAGCGGCTTCGGCTGAGGGACTGAGTGAAGCTGCCAGCACCGGGTCCATGACCACTCAGCCTGGCTGTTCTGGGGGGACCTGAAGGGCTGCTTTTCACTCCTCGATGAGGCTTTCTCTCCCTAGACCTTGCGTGTGCCTGGGAGGGGCGAGGGGAGAAGCTAGACGGGGCGGACCCCCCTTACCTTCCTCTCCCAGCAGCTCGGTCTTCACGCAGCAGTCCTGCCTGGTCTCCCCCTTGGCCGGAACTGCCTGCTAAAGGGAAACAACTGTCAGACCGGAACCTGCGAGGCAGACCAGCCATTCGCCACCATGACTTCTCTGAATAGAGTCCTGAACCCAAACCACGTCCCAGTCACTGTGGTGGCTGGACAGCGCGGGCCCTGCGGGAGGAGGGTCGGGACAGGTGAGGGCGCACGGCCCTGGGCTGTGGAGCCACTGTAGCAAGCAGTGTGCTCGCACCAGGATTTCGGAGTGTGTTCTACTGTGACAGGGACCCACCCGGGTTTCTAATGTCCAACAACCTACGTTACAGAGCCGGTAAACGAGGTCGCCCTGAATCACCCAGGGCTGGTCCATGCGGCAGCCTCCTGGGATGGCCGTGAGAGACAAACTCTTGCCCCGGGAAGGTCAGCCTCTGGTGAGACATGAGCATTACTCGGAAGGCTCTGTCCAGGCCCTCCAGCCACCGCAGTGGCCACTGCAAGGCCACGAACGAGAAGGCAGTGCCATGCGCCTCTGGGGGCCAGATGATGCAGACCCCAGGTTTCCCGCTGAGAGCTCCAGAACCCAAGGCATGACCCACGGGCGTGACACGTGTGTTACTGACTCCTCACTGGGCGGCCACGTCCAGCAGCAGCACAGGAGGCAGCGAGACGTGCGGTTCCAGCCACAGCAGATGCCCGGTTCTGCACTGCCCCTGCTCCTCTCTGCTTCAGACGCCGCCACCCGAGACCTGGGCCAGGGCTGGCCTCGTCCCCGGAGAGGTGCTGCCCACGCCGAGTGGGGGCTCACTCGCAGACGCATCTCCCGGCCAGGACACTCCTGCGATGGAGAGCGCTCTGCACCCACTGCCTAATGGTAAGCTATTCCCAACGCAGCAGTTCACTAGCTCATTGTCAAGGGGTTGGGAGAGAATGAACCCTTTCAACAGCTGGTAGATTTCCTTTTTCCTCTTTTGTCCTTTTGTTTCTTCCCTTGGCAGAAAAAGGAGTTAGTTCCTAAATTTGGAAAACACAATTAACATACAGTTGCTCCGTAATTTACATTCAAGGGAACAAACTCTCTGTTCATCTGCTACTTAACCCTCCCCTGGCCTGTCTGCAAAGGAGAAAACCAGCTCTACCTCCTGCCATCGCCTGGACAGGTCTCTCGGCCCCGTTTTCCAAGACCGATGGCCGGACCAGCACAGAGCCCACCGCCACGGCCCAACAGCCACGCTGACGCCGCTCCAGAGAGGGGTATCCCTGGACGGGCCACTGCACCGGCCTGGCCTGGAACTGTGGCCAGTGTCCGCCCCTTGGAGCCGGAGGCTGGGCACTGACATCAGCGCAGCCACACTGTGAGGAGCCCAGGCCACAGGAGAGGCTGCGGGGGACGTCCGTTCAGCGGCCACAGAACCAGCCTCAGCCACCAGAGGTGCGCATGTGTGAGCCTGCAGGTGCCCCGGCCCAGGGCTGGGCTCACAGGCCAGGAAAGCCATCCCCTCTGCCCTGGGACTTGCTGGCCCCGGGGGCATAGCCAGCCAGCACGATGGCTGCAGATGGCCACGCCACGGACAACTGCCACAGTGCTCTTCCTGCCCGGGCCCAGGTGGGCAGCTGAGTGAGGACCTACCCTGCCAGCACCCCGTCCCCTGACCAGAGCCTGGAAAGCATGGCCCCGCCCCCTCGGCAAGAAGCTCTGCTATTGGCCGCCTCGTCTGCAGAGCACAGACACTAGCCGGTGGGCCGGGGTTGGTGTCAGCTAGAGCAGGCGTCTGTCCTGAGGGCTGTGTGAACAGGCTGGGCTCGCTGTGGACTTGGAGTCCGGCTGCCCTTGAAGTGGAGACAGTCACACACATCTCCTCCCACCACAATAAGCCCACTTCCTAGTTCCCACACCAGTCTCCTCTGGATTTGGACAGGACGACTGCTTCGATGGGGCTGACGACAAATCAAGTTTGGTGACACCTGCCTTCCCCGGAGACCTGCCTGGCTCTCACGCTGCGGCTTTTTCTCCTCTTGTAAAAACTCCTCCCACAGTAAAAAAATTGACTGGGAAAGATCATTTAATGACAAGCAGCCATTAGAAATGTCGAGGCACAGAAATACTTCATGATGATGTCAACAGAAGGCGCTTCCCTGTAATGCTCTGGCACCTGAGCATCAACTCGGCCTGGTGTTTTTCCCAATTCTCACTTCATGCCAGCTCCAAATTCTTCGAGTTCTGCCAGCCTTCTCATTCAGCTCTGCCTGTTTTGCATTTCAATAGAATCAGCAGTTTCCTGTGAACGTTTAGTGAACGTGCTCCACGTGTGTGTCATGGGAAGAGAAGGAGGTTAAAGCTCCCATATTCAGGAGGAAGGAACAAACCCACCAGAGCCCAGGAGGCAGAGAGGCAGTCCGAGCGGAGAGGACGGCTGCTGGGCAGCGCCGGCCCCTCACAAGCACCACAGGAGCGAACCCTCACCCACTGGCTGCCACCAAACGCTGGGCAACCCCAGTGTGGGGCCACCCCAGTGTGGGGCCACCCCAGTGTGGGACCATCCCAGTGTGGGACCATCCCAGTGTGGAGTCACCCCAGTGTGGGGCCACCCCAGTGTGGGACCACCCCAGTGTGGGGCCATCAAACGCTGGGCCACCCCAGTGTGGGACCACCCCAGTGTGGGGCGGCTGTGCAAACGGAAACCCTCGTGCACGGCTGGTGGGAACGCGAAAGGATCCGGCTGTTGTGGGACAGTCTGGTAGTTTCTCAGAAAGTTTAAAAAAAGTTACCAAATGACCCAGCAATTCCATCCCTGGGCAGGCACGTGGACAGGTCCTTACACACAAATGTTCACAGCAGCATCATGCAAAGGGTCAGACGATGGAAGTACTCGTGTCCCTCACCAGAGGAAGAGAGAAAACGTGGTACATACAGACGGTGGAATCGGGTTCGGCCAGAAAAAGGCATGAAATTCTGGCACAGGCTACAACATGGACGGACCTCGAAAACATCCTGCTCAGTGAAATAAGCAACATGAAGTGACAAAACCTGTGACGCTCTACTTCTATGGGATGGACGGATAAACAGGTAGGTAGGTGGGCCGGCAAATTCACAGACGGCAGGGGAGGGAAGTTACTGCTCCACGGGTACAGAGTTTCTGGGGGGTGAAATGTTTTAGAAACAGGCAGTGATGATGGTTGTGCAACATTGTGAAATGCTTAACGCCACCAGACAGGACTTAAAAATGGTTAAAATGATGAAAATGTACGTGTAAGTACATTTTATCACAATAAAGGAAGGGGGGGGGGGATGAGAGGGGCCCACCCAGCCATTCAGATACTCAGATGCAGTCAGGTACTTCCTTAAGGAAACCAATGCAGTCAGGAAGGGATACTTCAAAGGAGAGAAGTGATGCCTCTGGAACAACACAATAGAAAACGGCATTTGCACCGTAAAAAGGGCACACAGCATAATGCTGCTAACAGCACGGCAGACAGATATACTTGTGAACATACATATTACTTTCCTGGTGGTGGTGGCTATGCTGTGTTCAGTAAGAGGATCTTTGCAGGAAACACACTGACATTACTTAGGAGGCACAGGGCATCTAGGAGGCAACCTAATCTCAAATGGATCATAAAAACCTTTCATGACACTTGCAACTTTTCTATTAAGTTTGACCGTATTTCAAAAGAAAAACAATTCTATGGACAGAAAAACAATGACTCGTATACAGAACGATCCTATGTATTTCTGGAAGGCCGTCCCCCAGACTCACCCCCATAGAAGCTGTGGGCAGAGCTGGAAAGGGTGAGAGAAGGCAGGGTAGATCCTGCCCAAACAGGATTTGGTTTTCAAAGGAAAAATTCATTTATTACTCTATAGTTTTTAAGTTTAAGTAAGGGGAATTGGGAAAAACTAAAAGATAAAAATTACTCATAAGCCAACCACTATAACATCCTATATAATAAAAACCTAATATGCAAATCGACCAAACGGCAGAATGACCAGTTGGTGAGGGGCAGGGCCGGCAGGGAGCAGGCCTAAGCCATCAGTCAGACACCCACACCCCCCCCCCCCAGGGCTCCTGGTGTGAGAGGGCACAGGCTGGGCTGAGGGACCCCTGGAATTTTCATGCACCGGGCCTCTCGTTTGTGTGTAGCCATCCAAACATGGTTCTGTGCAAACATACTCGTGTAACTGACAGACTGCGCGAGCAGGATGCCACCCAGGCTGTTAGTGCCCATCTGAACCCATCTCCGATCAGAGGCTACAGAGACCCACGGTGGGCACTCCCGTCCACGGTGAGCTCCCCCCGTCACAAACGGGGCTCCACCGTGTGGCTAGTGTAGGTTTAATGTTATTCAACTCTAGAAGGAAGAGACAAACAAGTACAAATCAATTTAAAAAAAAAAAAGACAACCACAAAAAGATGGACAAAGGAATTGAACAGGCATTCCCAAATGGCCAGCAGGCATATTCCACCCCCGGAGTCATTACGGGTTGGCACAGAGAAAAGGCACTTCCCCACTCGTTCTGTGAGCACAGTTCACACAGGAAACAGAGCAACTCAAAGACATACAACAAAACTACAGAACCCAAGGCTGGTTTAATGTCTGAAAACCAATGTTACCAATATTAACAGAATATGGGAGAAAATCACAATGACCATTTCAATAGATGCAGAAAAAGCGTCTGATAAATTCTCTTGTGATTAAAAAAACTCTCACCCAGCCGAAACCGGTTTGGCTCAGTGGATATAGCATCGGCCTGCGGACTGAAAGGTCCCAGGTTCGATTCTGGTCAAGGGTTGCAGGCACATCCCCAGTGGGAGATGTGCAGGAGGCAGCTGATCGATGTTTCTCTCTCATCGATGTTTCTAACTCTCTATCTCTCTCTCTCCCGTTTCCTCTCTGTGAAAAATCAATAAAATATATTTTAAAAAACAAAACAAAAAAACTCTCACGCTGATAAAGCACATCTCTGAAAAATACTCAGTGCTCTTCCTGTAAGGCTGGGCCCAGGCAAGGAGGTCCCACTTGCTGCTCCTACTTAATGCTGGTCCACACACTGGGGCTCCAGCCAAGGCCATGGGGAAAGGGTTGTCAATATAAGTAAGAAAAAATGAAAATCACCCACGATCCCACCACCTCGATAAGCACCTCGCATGCCGACAGGGCTTTACGTGCGGTTACAGCGCACACTGGCTGGCCATTTATCCTTTCACCCGCCTGGTGCTAAAGACACCTGCTCTTCCCAGCTGGGTCACCGCGGCGGCAGGCCCCACGCACGCCCGTCAGGCTCCCCCTCACCGCCCCACACCCATGCCTCTTCTCCACTCCGCCGCCACCTTCTTATGTAGTTGTTTCGTCCCTAAAGTCCCAGCATCAGGG